AAAGGGGTTCCAGCGCTACTCCCATAGGAGCAGCAGGAATACCATCCAGGTCTTCACCAAAAGCTTTAGCCCTTAGCCAGGCAAATAGGCTCATTCACACGTTTCTTCAATGACCAGTCTAAGGGTGTTGTTTTTGCTGTTTTTATTTTTTGGGAATTTGGATAGGGATGGGGAATTAGGTGGGATACTCCAAAACCAGAAACTACAGTATATACAAAGTTGAGAACTTTTAGCTATCTTTCGGAGAAGCTATGACAAAGTCTGTGCATGAAGCAAACAATAGACTTCATCTTTAAGGCAGCAGTAGTAATAGTAGTAGCAAGCTAGATCAGAGTCCCTTGAAGAAGGAAATTAAATGGACAAAACTTTTCGGAACACCAGCCGGTGCCCCCTTTAGCTAGAACCATAGCTGACTCCCTAGCATCCCCAGGGGCCCGGCTGCTGGGCAGCTCCAGGAGAAGGCACTAGAGTCGGCAGCTACTGTGTGTGTTGAGCTCACATCGGCTCATTACTGCACATGTACTCCTCATGTGTGCTGCCTGTACTGGCACCTCTGTGTCTCGGGGACCTGTCACCTGTGTGGAAGCAAGAGCTGGGACACAAGTAGGGCTGTGTGTGCAAGTGAGGGGAGGGGGCTGCTTGTGTATGGGGGGGGCAGAGTTCTGTGGAGGATTTTGTACAAGGGTGTGCGGGGACTGAGTGTGTACAGATGTGACAAGGGATTGAGTGTGTACAGGTGTTTGGGGGGGGCTGAGTATGTACAGGTGTAAGAGGGACTAAGAGTGTACAGGTGTTAGAGGGACTCAGCTTGTACAGATGTGAGGAGGGACTGAGCGTGTACAGGTGTGAGGAGGGACTGAGTGTGTACAGGTGTGAAAAGGACTGAGTGTGTACAGGTGTGAGAGGGACTGAGTGTCTACAGGTGTGAGAGGGACTGAGTGTGTACAGGTGTGTGTGAGAGAGACTAAGTGTGTACAGATGTGAGGAGGTACTGAGTGTACAGGTTTGAGAGGGACTGAGAATGTACAGATGTGAGGAGGGACTGTGCGTGTACAGGTGTGAGAGGGACTGAGTGTGTACAGGTGTGTGGGGGGGACTGAGTGTGTACAGATGTGAGGAGGGACTAAATATGTACAGGTGTGTGGGGGGACTGAGTATGTACAGGTGTGTGGGGGGGACTGAGTATGTACAGGTGTGGGGGTGACTGAGTATGTACAGGTGTGTGGGGGGGACTGAGTATGTACAGGTGTGTGGGGGGGGGGGGCTGAGTATGTACAGGTGTGTGGGGGGACTGAGCGTGTACAGATGTGAGCAGGACTGAGTGTGTACAGGTGTTTGGTGGACTGAGTGTGTACAGGTGTGTGGGGGGGACAGAGTGTGTACAGGTGTGAGAGGGACTGAGTGTGTACAGGTGTTTGGGTGGACTGAGTGTGTACAGGTGTGTGGGGGGGACAGAGTGTGTACAGGTGTGTGGGGGGGACAGAGTGTGTACAGGTGTGAGAGGGACTGAGTGTGTACAGTTGTGAGAGGGACTGAGTGTGTACAGGTGTGAGAGGGACTGAGTGTGTACAGGTGTGAGAGGGACTGAGTGTGTACAGGTGTGAGAGGGACTGAGTGTGTACAGGTGTGAGAGGGACTGAGTGTATACAGATGTGAGAGGAACTGAGTGTGTACAGGTGTTTGGAGGGGCTGAGTGTGTACAGGTGTGAAAGGGACTGAGAGTGTACAGGTGTGACAGGGACTGAGTGTGTACAGATCTGAATGGAACTGAGTGTGTACAGGTGTGAGGAGGAACTGAGGGTGTACAGGTGGGTGGGGGGGGGTGAATGTGTACAGATGTGAGGGGAGGCTGAGTGTGTATAGGTGTGAGAGGGACTGAGTGCATACAGATGTGAGGGAGCTGCCTGCAGGACTGCTCAGTGCTCACTGTGGACTGGTCTGGAGACAAGATGCTAGACATCACAATGGTAAACTGATTGACAATGTTGCTGGATGTGGGACTGTGCTATGACTGTCGCTTTCCTGGATTGGGGTTTCTTGTTGCTATATGGGGAGTCTCTTTGCTGCATTGGAATGTCCCTTTGCTGGATTGGGCTGTCTCTTTGCTATATGAGGATGTCTCTTTGCCTGATTGAAGTGTCTGCTGAATATATGGAGATGTCTCTGCTGGATTGGGCTGTCTCTTTCCTGGATTGGGCCATCCTTTTGCTGGATATATTTGATTTTCTGTTTTAGACTTTTTTAGTTTCTTAGATCTGCAAGGGGAGAATAGATTAAGGGGGCTTTAAAGGTAGTGCAGTTAGTTAGTGTAGGGTCCTGCTCAAAAGAATCTACCTTGTCATGGTGGAAGACTTCATATTTTTCAGACAAAATATAATTCCTTACCATTAAATCTTGAAAGCACTGATGACTTGGAATATTTATTTATTATTATTTATTTCAGGTACTTATATAGTGCTGTCAATTTACGCAGCACTTTACATATATATTGTACATTCACATCAGTCCCTAACCCTCAAGGGGAGTACAATCTAAGGTCCCTAACTCACATTCATACATACACATATTAGGGCCAATTTAGACAGGATCCAATTCACCTACCAGCATGTCTTTGGAGTGTGGGAGGAAACCGGAGTACTCGGAGGAAACCCACGCAGGCACATGGAGAACATGCAAACACACTGTTCACTTTCATATATTAAGTTGTACAAGTGGTAAAATAAAAGTGGGTGCACTGAAGGACTCAGTGGGATGACTAGTGGTTGGATTTTGTGGGATGGGCAGTGGGCAGGGCCCTGGGGAATGTTGGTGGTCAGGCCAGGGGGGCCCAGGCCCAAAGCTGTGTAAGGGGCCCCAAAATTTCTGATGGCTGCTCTGTGTGCAAGTTATGCTTTCAGTCTAACAGCAATTACTTCTACACTGTCTACAGTGTGGCAACTAAATGTACCTATCAAAATACAAACAAAATCTAACTATCCATATCTAGCACCTATGCTACAGGGTATTTGAGATACAATGGATATACTTACATAATTGGACTGATCATTGGAATGTAGTAAAACAAGAACCTCTTCTTAGCAATCATTATGAAGAATATCAGCACTTTCAACTATAAAAAATGAAAGTAGGTAAACGGTAAGTTCACCTTTTCATGAAAAAATGAAAAGCTGAACTAACTCCAAATATCCTGGCCAGCCCTCCAGATTCTCGTGATGCCACGGGCTGCAGATGTAGCAATCACCACGATATCCAAAACCCAATAAAATGTTCACAATGACAAGTGCTCATTGGTCAGTGCACGTTACTGTGCTGACCAATGTGAAGCGCTTATGAGGCTTATTCCAGTAAGGTGTCCCAGAAGATAGAGGCACTTCAATGAGCATTGAGCACTTGCCATTGTGTGCATTATGATGGATACTCACTCCAGGGCTTTGTATTGCAGTGTATGGACCACTACACCAGCTGCTATGTGCAAGACGGTGCGGAGGGGTGACCAGGATATTTGGAATTAGTTCACCTTTTCAGTTTTCGTAAAAAGGTAAAGTTAACCTTTAGGGATTTGTGATGTTGTTTAGCAAAATTATGCTTTTTTGTAAAGTGAATCTGATTTTGTTTCAGACACCACACATTTGGCAGTATATTTTAGGTTATGGAATGTAGTAGGCTTTTTTTAAAGACCATGATGAATTTTGGGGATCCCACTCTGTAGGTAACTGGAAAGAGCTTTATTGATCTAAAGATTACTTACAAACAGGGGCAGACTGACCATTTGGAAACTCGGGCACTGCCCGAGGGCCCGGGGTCAGTAGGGGGCCCCATGAGATGCCCCTGGTACCTTTTTTTTATAGGCATTTTTGAGTTTGGACAAGGACACAGGGGCCCCATGATCCCCTATTGCCCGGGGGCCCCATGAGTTGTCAGTCCACCCCTGCTTACAAAATAAGGCAAGAGCACAAGTTGACTTTAAAATCCCTGTGACCATTATAAGGTCCATCTTACCAAGTGTGAAATGTATTCCTTTAGTAAATCAGCCCCTTTCTATCAGAATGTCACATTGCTTTTTAAATAGATGACATTTTACACACATATTCTTGCTCACCACAGGAAGAAATGTGTGCAGAACACAACCATGCTTCTTCATTATTAAAACTATTTTGCTGATGAATAGCAGGCACATCTTATTATCTGTACAACTGAATGCTTATTGTTATTGATTCTACATAATATTGTTAAGAGCAAGGTGAAAAACTGCCTGCTTCTTTATCTTGGCAGTACCGGAGACAAACAATACCACTAAAAATAAAACAAAATGTCAAATGTATACGTACATATGACACCCTCAGAAACTGTACGCTCCAGGTATTTTTAGAAGTCATTCATTTTGTAATTTAAAGGAAAGCAAACTATTTTCCTGCATTATGACGTTTAGCATTTCTAATTTTAGTGCTTAACTGTTATTTATAAAAGACGGATTAACACAATTGTATGCTGGTGTTCTCTGTCATTAAATATCTTAAAGTGATATGAAAGCTTACTGTTTATTTTTGCTATTTCTAATGCTTATGTGAACAATAACGTTCAGTGCATCTTCTCAATGTTCTGAATCTTTCCTTTCCTCCTGCTTCATTTGGTACCCAAAGAGCTGAGTCCGCTTTCCTGTGTATGGTTAGATCCTTCACTTGAAGGGTCCAATGTGGCCACCCATTTTTGCACACTCCCATGGTGCCCACAGCCCAATATAGTTGCACTGTCTGTGCCATTGTACAAAGTGGCTTGTTAGCACCACACATGTGCAGTGATCTTATGAGTTATAGGACATTTAGTCCCAAAGAAGGGGAACAGGGGGCTCTGAAAGAACTAATGAGCATGCAATCGCAGACCTGAGGTTTAGGGAAGCTGCACACAGAAACCCAAGCATGCAGTGGTGATAAAACATAGCAAGCTCCCAGGATCAGACCCTCCTAACTAGGGGCGGACTGACCATTCGAGCACTCAGGCACTGCTCGAGGGCCCGGGGTCAGTAGGGGGGCCATGAGATGCCCCTGGTACCTTTCATTGGCTTTTTCATAGGCTTTTTTGGGTGTGGGTGAGGACACAGGGGCCCCATGATCCCCTATTGCCCGGGGGCCCCATAAGTTGTCAGTCCGCCCCTGCTCCTAACCCTCTTGTATTGAACTGTATTGTTTCTGTATTGTCTTCCATTATATTGTAAAGCGCTGAGCAAACTGTTGGCACTATATAAATCCTGTATTATAATAATAATATAATAATAGCAGTAAGTGGAGATTTATTAAAGCATGTATGACACTTTTCTCTGTAGGGTCCCTTTAAAATGCCCTGTGCCTTATTCAAGAAAGCCTTACAACAGTTTAGTTACTAGTTTGGGCACCTTATTGTCACCACTTTAATATTCTGTCACTGTGGCTGCAACAAATGCAAAAAGAATTAACAGACGTTTACAGATTAGGAAACTGAAGGTAATTAAGACCAACCCTGAGAAGGCGCATAGAGAGATAGACATCAGTGCTCTATGGTTGCTATGACACAAGTGACCACTAGTGTCCTATCAACCAGTGACTCATCCCTGGCTCCATTCAGCTGCCAGCTGGGAGATGCCATGGCTGATAGCTATTGTAAACAAAGGGATGGAGATGTTGGTTGATGTCATTTTCCAAATATGGCAATAGCTATATTTTAACAATGACAGGAATCAGCTGGGCAGCACCTGAATGGGGCCTGCATGAGTCATTGATTGTTATGATGCAGATGGCTGCAGAGCTGACAGTGTCTCACCAACTAATGCTACTGTGTGGCTATGGAGGGGGGGGGGGGGGGGCAGGACTGACAGCCCCCAGCCCCCCAAAGTCGAAAGCTAAAGCTCTCATGAAAACACACCCAATGGGCTGAAGTGCATTTTTGTAACATTTTGAGTGCCAGGCTATTCGAAAAGATAATGGTGAGGCACTCTTCACCTATGCCTCCCGGAAGCATCAAAAGCTGGGATTGAGGATTTTTTTTTTTTTTGTTAAGCAATCTTTTTTTAAATATTGCTGTTAAAAGTGAATTGACTTTGGGAAGTGAGGGGTTTTCAGAAGCTTATAGTTTCCTTTTGGAGAGCACACAACCAGCGGTGGACTGACAACTCATGGGGCCCCCGGGCAATAGGGGATCATGGGGCCCCTGTGTCCTTGCCCAAACTCAAAAAAGCCTATGAAAAAGGTACCAGGGGCATCTCATGGGGCCCCCTACTGACCCCGGGGCTCCCGGGCAGTGCCCGAGTTTCCAAATGGTCAGTCCGCCCCTGGCACACAACATAAAGTGCTCAAACAAAAAGACCTTTATACCAATATCACCATCTGTTGTTTTTATAATAGCTACTGATCAAAATAAGTGAAATTATAATGTTAAAGCTTATATAAGATTTCAGTGATTGGGTTTATCTACTTTAAGAAACCATGATTGAGTTCCTTGAATCGCAGTGCTGGAGTTCATTTTATGATGTGCCCTGTGCACAGATCTCTACATTCAAAAAAGTTTTAAGGGACCATCTGTCCACAACTACTGATGATAGCTATATCTTCAATTGTAAACACCTCAGATTTTTTTTCTCTATTAATTGTATCCTTGTTGTTTAGGTCCCGACTAACATGACATGTGCAGCAGGGCACATCACTACCTCAAGCACTTATTGAGCCACTTTAAGCCATTAAGCCACTTTAAGCCATTGGTATATCCTTGACACTCTGTACTCATTTGGAATAACTGCTTGTAAGCATTTTAGTTACAGTCATCCCTGCCCTTGTTTGCTTGACCAGAGTGGTGACAGCCTTACAAGAGCAAAATAAAAAAAATACAAAATACAATAAATGTAAAAATTGAAAAGCATAAAAAGGAATTGTAAAAAAAAAAAATGTTTAATATAATGCCATAAAACAATAGTGCTGGCCAATGGGAAAATTTTAATGTGGGACATGCCTAGGTCATGAAGTAGAGGAAGGGAGTGTTTTCATCAGCTAGTTCCATACCAGAGTGATTGTCATGCCAAGCTGGCCTACAGGTGCTGGGGGTTTGGGACTTTTTTCTTCCGCTCCAGAAAAAGATTATATGTGCCACCATCAAGAAATACTGCAAAGATGTTCTTACGCAGCACCTCCTCAAAGTGTTTCATTTTGGGCTAGATTTAGGATGTTAATATAATTTAGCCATTTACCCTTTTATCTAATAGGGTCTCTTTGATAAACCGAATCCTGGGGTTCTTGTGCAGGCTTTTGAGCTTAAAAAACCCCATTCACCGTAATTTGCCTGCAGCAGAGGATCCTGAGTCTCCCCCAATCTTCCACCTGACTTGAAGCCTGCCCCATTTCTCCTGCCCCCTGCTCACTGCCTGCACCCCAACACCCCCTACTCATCATATTCCTCCTTTGCCTCCTCCTGCCTTGTTGCATATCATAGTGATGGCTGGGTACCTACCACTGCGAAGTAGCACAGGCCCATAAAGGCTTGATTCCATGAGCTGGAATGGGAGCTTCTACAAAGCCAGCAGTTTTTCCAAGCTGACATCAAAACACTGGGCATGGGGGTTGTGACTAGAGATGAGCCCAATGTTAATTCGGACCAAACACTGGTTGTTTGGACATTCGTCCAATCTTTGAACATTTAGGACATTCAGCATGGAAGAACAAGAGAGCTTCCGACTATCAACAGTTGCTAATGAAGAAGCAGGTGTTTGTACCTACCATGCCCTTACTAACCACTGATGTCACCCAGCTCATTCACTTACATGGCTGGAACTCTCCGACCATATAAACAAATGGGGGGATCAGAGGGGTTACATCATTGCCTTAACATGTCCACATGGCCATATTTGGGCATATGTGGGTGCAAAACGTTATATCCCAAAGGTTCTAATTATGTTTCTTCATGCCTATCACTGGATGATCACCATGGCTGATACATTGCAGGCAGAGAAGGAGGTGATATTGAAGGAGCAGGCAGAGGAGGAGCAAGAGGTGAAGGGGAGGAATAGTAGAGGGAGGACGAGGGATGGTTGGAGGAAAAGGCCACTTTTTGAAAATTAAAGAGGACCTGAGTCAAATAAACAAACATGTATATGTTTTATTCAATGATTGTTCACAATATTGTCGCACTGCTACTTTTGAGATTGCTAAATATTGCTACATTGTAGTGCTGTCTCCTGTTGTTGGCACTCAAAATAATTACCTAGCTCACTTGTGCCTGCAGAATTCCAATATACCTAAACTCTGATCTTTAGTAGCTAAGGTGTTATAATGGGTGGGTTTTCGCTATTGGATAGCATAACTTGTTAACTGAGTGCAAACAGAAGAGAAATCCACCTTGTTCTGATATATTAGCTTTATTAGTAATACCTCATCTGGAATATGCAGTTTGGTTTTGCAATTCACAAAAAGAATATTGGGGAACTGGATAAAGTGCAGAGAAGGGCAACTAAACTGATAAGAGGCATGGAGGAGATCAGCTTTGAGGAAAGATTAAAGGAATTAAATTTATTCTCTCTTGAGAAGAGGAGATTAAGGGGAGATATGATCAACATGTATAAATCAATGGTTCACATAGTGAACTCGGTGTAGAGCTATTCACCGTAAGGTCATCACAGAGGACAAGGGGGCACTCTTTACGTCTGGAGGAAAAGAGATTTAATCTCCAAATACGGAAAGGTTTCTTCATAGTAAGAGCAGTGAAAATGTGGAATAGACTCCCTCAAGAGTTGGTTCTGGCCAGCTAAGTATATTGCTTTAAAAAAAGGCCTGGATTCTTTCCTAGATACACATACAGTAATATAACTGGATACTAACATTTATAGGTAAAGTTGATCCAGGGCATATCCGATTACCTCTCAGGGGATCAGGAAGGAATTTTTCTCAAATTGGATCATGCTGTGCTGTTTTTATTCCTTTCTCTGGATCAACTGTGGGTATAGGATTATAACTTTTTTTTTTATGGTTCAACTAGATGGACTTTTGTCTTTTTTTTCAGCCAGACTAACTATGTAACAAAGTTGTAATACTCTGGTAAGGCCACTTTAGCACTTGTTGCCATTGTATTACATCTCCTGTTCAGCCAGAGGCTATGTCTGTTCTTACCTGCATGATACCAGACTACAAAGTCAGTTTGAGAAAGTGACAAGAAGCACACCCTTTGCTCCACCAGTCTATTTCTTCACACTGAATCTTTACCTTGATTCTTCCATAGGCACAGAGAAAAGCCCACATACTTCATTTCACAAGGCCTTGTACATCGTGACTCCAGTATGGGGACCCTGCAGCTATGGGAGGTGCATGAAGTACTAAGCTGCACCATTGCTACCAGGATCCTCTGTCACTTGTTATTGCATAGTTACTCTTCTTCTTAACGCAGAGAGTTAACATGGTTTGATTCCAAATCCCAATTCTTCTGAATACACCATGAATACACCATTAGTAATACACTTAATTCCCTTCATGAGTAATTCAGACCAGGCAACTTCTTCTTTTTCAAGAAATGTAATTACTGTATAAATTGCTTTAAACATTGAATTATGCCATAACATCTTCAGACATAACATAGTCTCTCCTCACAGTACAGTACCTTTGGCTGTGCTACAGCTGGTTGTTCTGCCCCTCCTGTGATGCTGCCCATTCCTTTATTTAAACAAAGTGTCTCTCTGGTTGTTAGTAAATACATTTGAAATCTGGGATTAGGTCCCATTGATGGATGGATCACCTGCAAGGTACATCACATCTCGAAATTACTCCTTACACGACCCCTCTCACACCCAGACTGCATGCCTAAAACTGCTTTTCCTGGTATATATGCCCTTCACAAGGGAAATTACACATACACAGGGAAAGAGGTGTCAAAAGAATTGTTGACCCCCTGCAGCACCAGCCAGGCACCTGCCTACACACCCAGCCAAATCCAAGGATGAATTTCAGTTCTGTATATCTGCTGCCTGCCCCAGCCTTTTCAGATATACAGATTATGATTTCTACTGATCACATAGTAAACTGCTCTGAAAGTTTATTTCTTCTCATTAGCTGCCAGAAGTGTGAAAAACAATCATGGTTTGAGGTTACATTTTTTAAACTG